TATATATGCAATTAAAGCATAATGTTTGTGTTATTATATTCATAATCCGTGTATGTGCTCAGGTTTAACTGTACGTCGAAAATCATATAATTTCCCTTCTATTTATTTGAGCTAAGCAAGATAAAATAAAATCAGAACACGTGTTTCCAAAATACAAATAGTTGCTAACCATTATTTCACGTTATGTACCGCATATGTGACCTTTTTGACGGTTAATGCTTGATATGTAAATTTATCTATGACTGGAAGTTTATTCCTCATTCATCTGTTCCCTGGATTGTGTTATATTTTATATCTAGACGTTCCACCTCTTTAAACATTTATTTAAACATACATGGTGTGTAGTCAATTTTATCCTTCCGAATTGTTTAATAGTCATTCCATGGATACTTAAGTATTTTATAAATGTTTTGAACATTGATCAACTACGCTGTTGTCTTAATTTAGTCCAAGTAACGGAAATAAAATTGTTTAAACGCAAAAAAGATTTAAAACCATTTGTGATGTATTTAAATCCCAACGTTACCTTGGTCTATTATTTTACCCTTTTATATTCCTAATAAGTATCTAATCAAGTATGGAGAATAAAATAATCTAGTTCAAAGTACAGGAAACTACGCATTGATACAGACGTGAAATTCGAATCATTCGGAGTAATTATTCGTGATCATTTCCATTCATATCAATTGCAAAATTATCCAGTCATTGATTAAAAAACCCAACGTAGGATCAGATAGACTGTCTATATCAAAGTTTTAAATGTTATACCATCTTCAAGTTAATCAGTGGAAAAATAAATACATATATTTCGAATTGTAAATGGTATGAATCAAATCAAAAACAAAAACGCGTGGAAAACTATTATTTTACGTAAAAATGATATTCATGAATATTATTATAACACATATAACAAAACATAGTACTAGTGTGATCAGTAATGACATAAAAATGAATAAAAGAGATGTATCTTATTTCGAAATAATAGAAACGCTAAAAATCGATGAAATTTACAAATGCACCCAGTTGCATCTATGTTGTCAATACTTAGTTTTCAACGATGGAATTGAGTCAGATCATGAAATTATCAAAACATTTGTTTTTAAAGAAACATGGTAAGAAGCATTATCTAGCCCTGAAGAAAACATACAAACGTTTTTCATCCATTCAAAAGACATTGACATTGAAGATATGCACTTCTACTTTATTTGGAGGCCGTTGTCGATCATACAAGATCTCCTTTTTTTGTATCAAGGAAAAACGGTACAAACAATAAGAAAAGAGAAGATCATCCTCATTTTTATACCTGTTAGGAACTGAAATATATATAAAAAAATGTAAATTTTTTGTATGTTACTGAACAGAATGAAGGAATAATCTGACACATATTTTATTCATGAAAATAATATATAACACGTACCTGAAGTATCACCGAATATACAACAAGGAAGTTACATATTTTCCGCTAATGTGAGGACTTGTCAAACAGTTGTGAGCAATTACTTGTAATATACTTTGTATAACTACTTACTTTTTTTATGTATGCTTCATTTCATATTATGTAAAGCTTACTTTTAAATGTTTCTTTTGAAAATAAGTTTGTAATGTTCAGATCACGTCCGCCTACTATTTGTTTATTTTGCAACTATTTTGAATTGCAATAACAATATTATTTACAGTTTAAAGTTGCAGACTGCTTATAAAAATAGAAGTACCATGCTCAATAGTTTTCAGCTGAACAATAGACAAGTCTGTGAGGCCGTTGATACATGTTAGAATTACAAAACTGAATTGGACTGTGACACCTAATACTATATATATTTACAAAGACCTAAATATTGCTAAGCACATGTCATATCTTCATGACAAATATGTGTTGTGTGTAAGTCACATGACACAAACAACCTAATAACGGAATAAGGTTCTGGTAATCCACTCGATAACTCAACAAATACTCCTACGCTATTTCCACATGAAGAAGTCATAAACAATCATTAATCTGTTCTATGTTCTTTTGGAATTCAAACCAAATATGAAGAAAAAGTTTCTCCTTCACAGTACTGGAAACATAAATTACATAAGTGTCCAACGTTATACTTCTGGGTCCACCATGTGCCCATCGAAACCTCTTGCATCACTAAAATTATTTACATCAATTTTATCACGAAACAAAACCGGCCGTTAAATCAACTGTAAATCTACCTGCTCTATAAGAAGTGTGAATAAGATGTGGATACTAAAAAATATCAGTTAGCTATATAGTACATACAATTAATGTATCATTCCACATACAACTGTAGAAAACAATTTGAACTTAAGTACCCATTACACGAGTTTTCCCCATTCTTAATTTAAAGACTGGTTGAAAGATACAGTCTTACTATGTTCCATTAACAGGATGGGCAAAGTAGGTACAAATATTTTGTTTTTGGAATGAATAAATCATTATTTGTAAAGCATTACTCTGATTCAAACATCATTTTCGCTAAGACTGACATCACAAAGACTTTTGCTTTTTTATCGAAAACATATTTGTTACGTTATAGAGGACGCATTTTAAACACACAATCAGCATTTCTATTGGAATTCATACGAAGCAGACTTTATATTAGTAAGAATGAAAAGAGGTTATCATCATCTCGTTCCGCTATTTAGATGGTGTCCTCTCATTAAATACTTTAAATCGTGGTGAATATGTAAAATGAATCTAACAATATTGAACTCGAAAAAAGGATGCAACAGATACAAAACGTCTGCCTCATATTTGGAGTAACATATAGAAATTGACAATGCAGGTCGGTTGAGGACAAATCCAAGTTGATAAAGCGTGCATTTCCTACTATAATATTATTAATATAATGTTGCTTTTTATAAAAAAAGCAATTGAAACAAGCGATCCAAGTGATTGAGTTGAAGTCATTCTTATGAAAAATGTTACGGATGTCATCACGAGGAGGTTGACTGTTATGGGATATCTCTGTCACAGATTACCACAGATATCTTCCAATTGTCGTAACAACAATGACGTCCTCATTTTCTGGATTGCGAAATCACTAAATTTGTATTTCCGGTAATCAACACGACGGGTGCCACTAGAGATGCAGGATATCCATAATCTTCTGGAGCTCCCGATTTTAACTCCAGGTCTGGGATTGGTTCTCCTGGTCTAGTCTTTTGTTTTCTATGTAGCGTGTTATATTGTACAGATAAATTGTAAGTGTATCATTTATTCAAATAAGGAGAACACTTTTTCATTTGACATGGAAGACCAATGGAGGAAACGGAAACCTTAAACGTGAAGACTTCTCCAAAAAAACTATATCAGGTAAAAAATAAAAAAAATAATACCAACAGAATGTAGAACCATGGGCGTTCATAACTGTGTATCATCATCTATTTTTAAAATTATAATTCAATTTACAGATGTATTTACAGCAAAAGGTAAGTACAAATGAAAACGATATTCGAACATCTTACTGCATGTAACATTTATGAGCTTTAAGAATTAGTTTATTGTTAGGACCAATATGTTTACATGCATGAACGATTTAAAAATTTTAAGTAATTTTTGGTAGTCCCTTGCTTTATAATTCACCTGTCATAGCATATAAAGTGTTCACTGAAATATAGAATATACTGCAGACAGTTGCGTATCGATTTAAGAAATGTACACATTGTTAAGACGGGACAAAAGACTATCGAAATCTAATAGAAGAAAATTAACAATAGAGAACGAAAAATCGTTCTTGTTGAGGACAATCTGTGTATAAAGTATCCGGTGTGAAATACAAATAAAGAATTTGAGAAAGAGTCAATTAGAGATTAATTTAAGGTCAGTTCCCTGAGTGAAAATTCTACAGTAAGATAAATTTTGCTTACTTAAAGTAAAACACCATTAACATGATTAAAGGGGCATTAGCTTCGAAATATAAAACAAAAATATCATTTCTTTGTTCAATCATTAATGAAAGAGAATAAGTGAAATAATAATTCGCTTTTAGCAGCCAATTTGGTTAAATTTTACAAAAAAAGCTCCGAAACATTGCTGATGAATTATTCACTTGCAAGTGAATAATTCGATCTAATTAAATTCGTATTCATGTGACCTTCAATTTAAATCTTAGCTGTAGATGGGTTACACATGTATTCAGCTATTAAAATGAAAAAGAATGTCATCTTGAAAGTGAAACTAGGATGAACCATTTAGTTGACTGATTCGATCCACAAAATATCATTCTTATACAGGTGAAAACGATGATAAACATATTTTCTAACCTACAATATAAAATCAAATAGACCTAGAAATATCCAATTGCACGTGGTTTGTGTCTATTTATATTTATGTTTATATCGGGATTTATGACCTTCGGTAGTCTTCGGAGGTCATCATCGATGGTTAATTAAATGAAGTCTAGACAAAAATACACTTGAAATGTTGATACAAATTATCGAGTCCATGCATTGTTAATTGTTCATTTTAGACTTTTTGTAATTTGGATATACGTTGTAGTATGATATAAATCAAGTATGAGAATTTGAGTAAAATCGGTGAACATGAATTTGATAGCTAATGCCCTTTAAAGTAATGTTAATTGATTTAATTTGTTTTTATTCAATGAAATTTAGACGTAACTTTACTTAGTTTGGCAATAAAGTACAAGTAAGAACTATAAAGATTTGTATTAAATTGACATAATTAGTGCCAATATGAAACATTAACTCTATAGAAAAACGTATATAGATGTTGTCAAGAATACAGTTATCAGCTACAAAAGAACATTTTGTTTGTGTACATGTAGTAGTAAGTGACCCTTTCGACGGCATAAGTAAAGGATGTAATTTACGAAAAATGATAACGTTTCATCTCACTCAGTCTTACATTTTGCTATTAGAGACTATTATGAATGCACTCATTTCATGCTTATTTTAGTTGGTGAAAATATACAGATTATAAAAATGAAAAGTAAAACAAAATATTGGTTTTGATATATTACAGTACTCACTTGTGATATTTCCGATCAAACTTTACTATCTGCAAGGCAAACGCTCAAATGATCGATGATTATATCATATGCAAATAAAGATTCGAATAAAAAGATTTACAAGGCATTTAAATGAAACATATATTTTCCGAAAACGCGTATTCCTATTTACATGAATTATCAGTGCATAAAATATATTGAAATTAATCAATACATATATTTATTTTGAAAAGTGTCGTTCGACATGGGAAAATTAGTGAAATTGTCATCTTGTCTTTGAAGTATTATTTTCATTGTTGAAGAGCGAATTATCCTTTCTATTATCTTAAATATCTTATTATGACGTAAAGAAAAAGGACAATTATGGTGTGTCACATTAATGACAAAAAACCACTACGTGCATTTGCAAAATAAAAGGAGAATGACCATAAATGTTATTAAAACAGTAGAGGGTTTATGTTCACGAAATTTAAATTTTGCGATTTCACATTTAAATGACCATCCAAATCGCATAGTTTTGTTTTTGATCTTTTCTTGTCCTAAATAAACTATGATCTTCCATGTAGGTCAAATTTACACAAGTAAGATTGTTGTGTTTTTAATTTAATCGCGAAATAAAATAAACCCTCGTGTAAGTTTCAACTGTAAATTTCAAAAGTCAAAAGATATAAAGAGGTCAACATAACATCTACATCAACAGCCATGTTGGTATGTCAAATACTAAATCGGCAAGGGTCTCACAAGTTTTTTATATACAGAAACTGCCAAATATGTGCCATCAACACGAAATTAAAAAAAAATTGCATAATCATTAAAATAGGACAATATAAAAAACGTAAGCCAACCTATTTGAAAACCTAAACTTATTGAAAAAACGAAGAGCTCATAAACAAAACGTATATTCAAAGCCGGGCCAGGGATCAGCACTTTGAACGAGGAAGATATATATCTTAATTTAACACAATTTCCAAAATTGTGTAACTGTAAGATCCAATTGCACAATTCCGGAATATTCATCCCTGTAGAGGAGTACTCACTACTGGGCTAGTGATACCATCGGGGTATAATAGTCCAACAGCAGAGGTATCGACAGAGTAATAGAAATCACATAATTGTTACCAATTTTTACTGCAGCAGATGCTCATTTATTTTTATAATAAATTTCGTTTCAGTTATGCTTCAGGCCGAAATATTTGAAATCATAAACTTATTTTAAAAAAGAAACAAAGAGCTTAATGGTTGAAACACGTATCATGTGTATTGTTTGGCCATCGATATATCTCTAATTAATTGACTGTCAGTAACAGACGATTTTATACGCTAAGTATCCAGTGGTTTAGTACTTGTATTGATAAAAGTTGATATGGTTAGACTACAATTTTGGGTTTATAATTTATATAACTTAATAAATTATTGTTTTTTTGACATTTTGTCATAATCATGAATGTTGAAAACTTTTTTAAAAACACATTAGGCACTCCTATTTCTTTTATTTTATATTGCATCTAGATAAGAAAGGAAAATGATTTTTTTTTAAATACATGAGAGTCAGGGTATATGTTAAGAACTAGTGTGTATTTCTGTAGTTTTGGAAACCTATTTGTTTGTATTCCAATACATTTGTCGAATTTCGGCTTTTGGGAATGTTGTTCTGGGTTCTCCTTAGGCATACTTGTCTTTAATATGAATAGGTCTAAACAAATAGTTTAACTAATAAGGAAATTTTATCTTAAATGCTTTAAACAATGTTTACAATATGTTTTCACATTTTAGATAAAATATCAATAATCAAGCCCTATCGAACTCATTAAAAAATTAAGTCTTCAATTATAAGTTCTTTTCGAAAACTTCGTTTTAAAGTAATTCTTTATCAAGTAATTACTAAACACATATCAATTCATGGTCGTTGTGATAAGTTGGCATATACATGGACGAAAAAATAGGTTCCTAAGTTTTAAATCAGTTTCCTTGAGAATAGGAATAGGTTGAAATTTGAAATAAACATTAGAAGAAAGGCTAATAAATGTTTATGGTGGTATGTGAACTGCTGCTATAAGTAACCGAATATCCTGTCGTTCATCATTCAAATTAATCACTGGTCTGCTTAACTTGTATTTCAACATTTGACACGAGAAACCTCATTAAAATCTTCGAGAGTCGTAATGCAGTAGAGAAATTTATAGTGGCATCAATTTGTCTTAAACGGTCATCTTGATAAAAACAGCTCACAAATGACTGACCATTAGACTCGTAAGTGAATTTAAGATTGTCATTAAATTGTAGACTTTTCCATTGCGGTAAATGCAGTACCGTTTAGACAATTCCCTTGGGGTCAATAAAGATATTTTTAGTCTTGTTCAGATTGTTCAATAGTCGTTATCTTCCTGTACAGATCAACAACATACTGAATTGTCTGAAAAAATAGTGAACAGTACTTTATTGACTGCTAGCGATTTGCCTGAACAGTACTTAAATTACTGCAGTGGATACCTCTGAAAATTGACTGATTATGACCTAATAATTTATTTCTAAGAATTTTCAGATATCAAGATAAAAATGACTGTTTATTAATAAACTTCATTTAAAAGTGCATGTTGAGTGGTGTTATTTTGTGGTTTTCTCCTTATAAAACGATAGGATATGTGGGATGCTTGCAATAAGAAAAGTATCAATCAAAATCTAAATGACGTGGACTTGAGCAACTTGTTTTAATCGTACGGCCCTTTTTAGCTCACCTGGCCCAAACTTCTTCTAGAGAACCACTGAATGGAATAAAACCAAACATGGCATGAATGTTCCTCATGAGGTGCTGACCAAGTGTTGTTACTTTGTAGCGGATCCATCATCCAAGATGGCCGCCAGCGGGGTACTTAGTTTAACATAGGACCCTATGGGAAATACATACAAATGTCTTCTTTTAGAGAACCACTGAATGGAATGAAACCAAACATGGCATGAATGTTTCTTATGAGGTGCTGACCGAGTGTTGTTACTTTGAAGCCGATCCATAATCCAAGATGGCCGCCAGCGGGGGACTTAGTTTAACATAGGACCCTATGGGAAATACATACAAATGTCTTCTTTTAGAGAACCACTGAATGGAATGAAACCAAACATGGTATGAATGTTCCTTATGAGGTGCTGACCGAGTGTTGTTACTTTGAAGCCGATCCATCATCCAAGATGGCCGCCAGCGGGGGACTTATTTTAACATGGGAACCTATCGGAAATACATACAAATGTCTTCTTTAAGAGAACCACTGAATGGAATGAAACCAAACATGGCATGAATGTTCCTTATGAGGTGATGACCAAGTGTTGTTACTTTGAAGCGGATCCATAATCCAAGATGGCCGCCTGCGGGGGACTTAGTTTAACATAGGACCCTATGGGAAATACATACAAATGTCTTCTTTTAGAGAACAACTGAATGGAATGAAACCAAACATGGCATGAACGTTCCTTATGAGGTGCTGACAAAGCATTGTTACTTTGAAGCCGATCCATCATCTAAGATGGCCGCCATCGGGGGACTTATTTTAACATAGGACCCTATGGGAAATACATACAAATGTCTTCTTTAAGAAAACCATTAAATGGAATGAAACCAAACATGGCATGAATGTTCCTTATGAGCTGCTGACTAAGTGTTGTTACTTTGAAGCTGATCCTTCATCCATGATGGCTGCCAGCGGGGGGACTTCCTTTAACATAAGACCATATTGGAAATACATACAAATGCTTCTTCTAGAGGTGCACTGAATGGAATGAAACCAAACATGGCATGAATGTTTCTTATGAGGTGCTGACCAAGCGTTGTCACTTTGAAGCCGATCCATCATCCAAGATGGCTGCCTGCGGGGGGACTTAGTTTAACATAGGACCCTAAGGGAAATATATACAAATGTCTTCTTTTAGAGAACCACTGTATGGAATGAAACCAAACATGGCATGAATGTTCCTTATGAGGTGCTGACCAAGGGTTGTTTCTTTGAAGCCGATTCATCATCCAAGATGGCCGCCTGCGGGGGACTTAGTTTAACATAGGACCCTATGCAAAATATTTACAAATGTTTTCTCTTAGAGAACCACTAAATGGAATGAAACCAAACATGACATGAATGTTCCTTATGAAGGGCCGACCAAGTGTTGTTACTTTGAAGCCGATCCATCATCCAAGATGGCCACCAGCTGGGAACAGTGTTTAACAAAGGACCTTACGGACAATACATACAAATATCTTCTTTTACAGAACCACTGAATGGATTGAAACCAATCATGGCATGAATGTTCCTTATGAGGTGCTGACTAAGTGTTGTTACTTTGAAGCTGATCCTTCATCCATGATGGCTGCCAGCGGGGGGACTTCCTTTAACATAAGACCATATTGGAAATACATACAAATGCTTCTTCTAGAGGTGCACTGAATGGAATGAAACCACACATGGCATAAATGTTTCTTATGAGGTGCTGATGAAGTGTTGCTACTTTGTTGCTGATTTACTGTTCAAGATGGCTTCCGGGATTTTTTATTAACTTACAGGGCCAATATTAAACCAAATTTGGCCTCAATCATTATTAGGGTATCTGTTATGATTTTAATCTATTTTAACATGACTTCCAAAACCAAAGTAGAATCAGGTGAGCGACACAGGCTCTTCAGAGCCTCTAGTTAATGAACAAAACCCACATCATATCGGCATAGATAATTGGCCTCGGCATAAAAAAAACATTAAAAATATCAGGCTAAAAAACTAACGTTATGGTTCATTTTCAAAGAATTAACATAAACAAATAAGACAGACAACACACACCGACAACTACTGAATTAAAGGCTCCTGACTTTTGACAGACATAGAATGAATCTGGTGGGATGTTCCATAGATGATTTTTACAAACTGATTAAAATGAAATATTCAGTCGGAGAAAATATAAGTGAAAATTACAATGTGGTCTCAGACAGTAAACATATGTTCAGAGGTTAAAATCTCCATTCTAATGCCTGTTAAAATGATCACTATTGTCATTCTAAGTAAATATTGTCTATGAAAAATTAT